TAGCTAAAATGATCAGTGAAGTGTAGGAGCTAGAATGTGTATTTTGTAATAAAATGGCCCTAGAACTCTATTTGACGAACTGATTTTAAAATGGTTTACCGTCCTTCATATTAGTTATTCGTTCTAAGACGTGAACCTGCGGTGTTGAGAATCCATTGTCATGTGCATATAGGCTAATTCAATTTGAATACATGTTAAACTGTATTATAACAGGGAGGCAGCAATGGCCATCACGAGCAAATGCTGCCAGAAGGAGCTGGATGAATATGGTGCATGTGTTGTCTCCCATCCAGTATCATGGCAAGAGAAGTGTGTAGACCTGAAGCTGAGGGTGGCACAGTGCACTTCATCACAGTATGTCCATATATAATAAACAACTTTGCATGTCAAAGAGAATGCAAATGCCTTTGTGTGAGAGCAGGATGTTGTTTATTCTTATTTATATCACAAATTGATCTAAATGCGTTTCTTCAACACATTAAAACTGTTGTTTTGCCATGCCTTTATTGACTCCGATTTAGATCTGTGACAACCATTATAAAAATATAACAATAATTAGTTACAACATATTCAAAACCTTAATAAAATGTAGTGTTTAGTTCCTTTATTTTGCTTTAGACATCACCCATCAAGCTGTATTCAGTCATATTGTTTTTTCCCCCCAAAAAGTTGAAATAGTATATTTAATTTATTTTAATACAATTTAAGATATGATATGTAAATGTTTAATTGTGCATGGTATACATAAAATGCTGGTTCTGAAATATTAGTTTATTTTCTAAAAGCCCACAGTGCAATTTTCCTGAAGCTGAATAAATATTGGTATGCAGGGACTAGGATGGTTTATTTACCCAGATAGAATAGGAAGCACTATATTTCTGATGTTTTCCTCCTGTTTTTCTTCCATCTCAATGCAGTCCTGTGATAAGGAAGATCCGAAGCGACTGTGCTGGTGAGTTTTCAGTGTTTGAGCGCTGTCTGCGGGAGAACCAGAGCTCTGCTGAAGCCTGTCAACCTCACCTCGCACGTTTCCTTGCCTGTGTTGAGACCGTCGACCTTTCAGGAATAGGTAAGCAGTGAAGTCTGCGTTTCTATAATTATACCTGGATGTATGACTAAGTACAATGAATTAAAATATTTCTAACACTTTCTTCCAACAGCAAATGCTGCGCCGCAGCCCACATAGGTGTTTTTTTGTCACCGTTAATAACACAGGTGTTTTATACTCAGTACTGGGAAGAAATGGGCTGTGGAAAAGCTTATCATCTTTGAAGAACTGCAACACACACACAAAAAAACTGAAACAAACCTCAGTCTTTTGCACACCTTTTTTTTCCAAAATATTCAATGTGATGTTTTATTTTGTTAATGGAACGTTTCACACTATTTATGAGATTTTTTTAAAAAGCTTCCATGATATTAAAACACGAAGTTGCAATAAAATATGCATTTCTAAATTCTCTGCACTTTTGAAGATTAGAGTCCTATTTTACCAAAAAGCATTAAACAATTTCACATGCACTCTGCACTTTTTGCACGATGCAATTTATAAAATAAAAAATGTGTTGCTAGAATTTTTCAGCCTGTATTTCTTGTTCGTTTTCATGAATCCATAAATCTAAAAATGTTTTTTTTTTTTTTTTTTCTTGCATGCTGTGATCTTAAAATGAAACGCGTTCATTAACTTGATGATTGGTTTGCTACAGTGAAAATCTCAAGAAAAATAATTCTTGAAAACTTTTCTTTATGAAACGTTTATGAAAGAACAGTATTGTAACGAGACGTCAACAGAGTGAGGATCCATCTGCAACTTTATTGAAATCGTAATCAACAGACAAGGTCAAACACGAATTAAAACTAAAACTTTACTTAAATCAGCATTCTAAATATTACTTTTACTAATATTTATATAATACTAATAGCAAATTAAAATGAATAGTAATATCAGTTGGGAAACATTTAATTATATAATTAATTTTAGATGAACATGCTGTTCTCTCTTAACCATATTTGATTGTTGCAAGAGAATTTGCTCAATTCTATTACACTTGTTTAAAATAGCTTTACATCACTGAAACATCCATATTAAATCCCTCCAGTGCAATGGAAACATAATGAACTGTAATATGTTTATTTTTAGTTAATATGTATTCAGCATGCTTGTTGATTTAACATGTGAAATCTAGGTTCAGTACGCAGGTTTATGTCATTTATAACAGGTTTTTCTTGTTTCCCGTCAGTTGCTGTTTGGATGTTTTTCTCCTTACCTTGGCGTCACTGTATAATATTAAACCAAAGAATGCAAGGATGTAATATCTCCCCCTCACATTTCCACCGGTTCCCTGCGTCCCGGAACAAAAGCCTGTAGGGAGGCATTAGATTAGTGCTGCTTTGCCTGCTGGTTAACGGGAGGGAGGACACGGGTTTGGAACCTTTGACCACCGAGCTAAACAGACCTTTCATTTGGTCCATTTATCAAAAGTGGAACAATATGTAACCGTTTTACCAGAATCGCATTCTTATCAGAGCACATGAACCATAAATCACACAGCCAAGCGTCAGCGTTTGAAATGACGAGTTATATTGGAAAACCGAGAACACTGTACACAAAAAACACATTCACTGAAAGTGATCACAACTAAAAGAAACCGAAAGACGTACCATTCAACAGCTGTCCTTTAAAGAAACATCACACCACTTTAAATGAAACAGTCCAGTATCACTAAATGCTTCATGAAAATGTGAGCAGCTGATTTACCAGCAACTCATGTCCAGTGTACTAAAAACTACATTGTACAGGTTATGGACGGTTTTCATAAGCAGATGGTGTTCATGTAAATCCGCTGTACATTCTTCAATATAAATAATAAGTTTCACATATACAGTGTCTCATGCTGCAACATAAATATTCCAATGCTATTGTTGCCGTTAAAAACAGCCAACAAGAACATAATGAGTTAAAAGAAGTAAATAACTACACGTATAACAAGAGAGCTAATTACAACAACAGTCATGTGACCAACACATTTAGTATTTTACAATAAAGCACAATTAGCAACACGTTACCAAGTGTACACGTCCTGTAACATTTAGGGGGTATTTTTAATACTTTGTGCTCTTTTTCTTGTCAGTACTAAAGAGATAGATGTCATATTTATTATCAACCCTGTAACTGTAAGGCTAACTAACCCTGTAACAGCAGCAACCCTGATTATTTCCTCATCTCAGTTTGGAGATTGTAGCACATTCCTACATTTTACCTGATGCCTAACCATCTAAAGCCTACAGTCAGTGCTGCTGCAGAAAAATTCAAGGCCCTTGATAGTTTTCACCTCTCACTTTTTTTGTATCAGAGGAAATCTACCCTGTGTCCAAAACCTGAAATTAGAATGGAAAAAATCTCTTTTGTGGTTTGGTTACATCATAATTTTCCATATTTGTCAAACCTCGCTTTAATCGAGCAGGGATGTGTGTTTTGATAGTGTTGACTGAGCACTGTGGTATGTGTGCCTCCTTTGCTCTCTGAACCCTGTCAAGACTCCCTCACTGATATTTTCTTTGAGATATATACTTCAGCTTTGACGTTTCATTATTTTGTGGCTTCTTAATTTTTTATTTTGTCTCTTTAATTGTGTAATGCACAGTTAAGGCGGCTTGAAAGTCCCTGTCTGAGAAACTTACAATAGTTAAAAACCTACCAAATTAAATTTCTTTAGAGAAAATACTGCAATAGCTGTCAACATTTTTCATTTGTGAAAAGAAAAAATTAAAGCCACATTTGTGTTAAAGGTG